TGAGAGAGTGAGCGAGTGTGAGTGAGTGAGTGTGAGAGAGAGAGTGAGCGAGTCTGAGTGAGTGTGAGTGTGAGAGAGAGAGTGAGCGAGTGTGAGTGAGTGTGAGTGTGAGGGAGAGAGTGAGTGAGTGTGAGTGTGAGAGCGAGTGAGCGATTCTGAGTGGAGGTGAGTGAGAGAGAGTGAGCGAGTGTGAGTGAGTGTGAGAGAGAGAGTGAGCGAATGTGAGTGAGTGTGAGAGAGAGTGAGCAAACGTTTGAGTGAGTGTGAGAGAGAGTGAGCGAGTGTTAGTGAGTGTGAGAGAGAGAGTGAGCGAGTGTGAGTGAGTGTGAGAGAGAGTGAGCGAGTGTGAGTGAGAGAGTGAGCGAGTGTGAGTGAGTGAGTGTGAGAGAGAGAGAGTGAGCGAGTGTAAGTGAGTGTGAGTGTGAGAGAGAGTGAGCGAGTGTGAGTGAGTGCGAGTGTGAGAGCGAGTGAGCGAATGTGAGTGAGTGTGAGAGAGTGAACGAGTGTGAGTGTGAGAGAGAGAGAGAGAGTGAGCGAGTGTGAGTGAGTGTGAGTGTGAGAGAGTGAGAGCGAGCGAATGTGAGTGAGTGTGTGTGAGTTAGGAAATAAAGACATTCCTCCAGATTGTCAGTTTTCCAACCCTTACAGACCCTTGTTATATGTCTTGTCACTGAAACAGTTCGTTCGGTAAGCTAAGGTTGTGGATATACCAATGACACCTGGTTATGTCGGGAACAGGCGGTTTTGTAGTAACCTGGTTCCTTCTCTTTCAGACTGATGACGTTATCAGTCCAGACACGTGACAACACCCTCTACACCCCTACTGGGCCTCACACTGTCGGACAATGGGCACGGTTTAGTTTTAAAGCGGGTTTGTTTTCCATAGGGCCCATTTGATACCACATTTTGGCAATCATATTCGATACCATTTGGGAAATAAATGACATTTGCTTTTGTCAACTTTAATTCTTCTTTTGTATTTTCTGTTCTCTGTGAAATGTGGGTACTCATTGACTGCGCTAAGTGGATAATTGAATTGATAATTGAATTAGCAGTCAATGGAAGGATCAAATGGTTTGCACTGATAGTAAACCCTCGCTTTGTCCCTTAAATCGCATCAATTACAGCTGGTTGTGATCACAGCAGAATCAGCCGGCAGTATTTACATGAACCGTCGGTATGTCAATAGATAAATGCGATAACACCGTTTCCATAATCATAAAAATATCGGTTGAAAGCAAAGTCGATTGTTGGAAAACATCAATATCAAAAGCATCTGTTCATGAATCACTATGAAATAGCAATGATACCAGGTGTTCGTGCTATCAGTGGAACCACAATGTATTTTATGTTATGAGTGTAGCGATAGAATTTTCTTAAAAATCCATTGCTTCACCGATCTCGTTCAAATTTGAAATATAGGTTAATCATAATTCATAAAAACAATATACGAGTGCAAAAGTCTCTATTTTTATTCTTTTAAATTATTGTCCAAACAGTGATTCGAACCCCTGTGGGTGGAACAATCACAAATACATGGGATTCAGCTATACACACACGAGAACATATGTTCCAAGTTAAAATAGGGAATGCTATCTCACTCCATCTCATAGAATAGTTATGTCACAGTATGTCATACAGACCCTGAAACAAAAATATCCAAGGAAGCCCATGCAAGTCTAGACAATGTATACGTGGCAAGTCTAGATAACAAGATGCTAGGCTCCTTTTCATTATATTTTATCATTATAATTAATGAATCGTTTTTCTGTAAAAAAAACTGAGAGAAACAAATAAGGGATCACATGAAAGTACAAGTGTTCCTTATTTTTGTTTCGAGGTGTCTTCACAAGCGTTGTATCACATAGCTTGTGAAGAAACCTGGAAAAGAGTATGGGAACACTTGTGCTTTCATGTGATCCCTTATTTTTTTCCCTCAGTATATCTTCATTTCAGAGACTAGATGTTAGTCTAGTTATGACAACACACGCTCGGCAATAATGTACCACGGAATAACCTATAATATTAAACATCATTCAGTTATATATTAAGGGGGCCTTCAGTCTTCAAGGTATCCGCACAGACGCAAAATGATGGCTGAATAAGGAATTCTCTGGGCCAAGGTTCAACTTCGACACAACAGCGTGTTCGACACAGCGGTGTTTGCAAGGACACACACATATTCGAAATCTATACACTGCCTCAGGTAGGTGGTGCAGATATAACGACTGTTTGCAAGTACACACACATATTCGAGATCCATGCACTGCCTCAGGTAGGTGGTGCAGATATAAAGACTGTTTGCAAGTACACACACATATTCGACATCCATACACTGCCTCAGGTAGGTGGTGCAGATATAACGACTGTTTGCAAGTACATACACATATTCGACATCCATACACTGCCTCAGGTAGGTGGTGCAGATATAACGACTGTTTGCAAGTACACACATATATTCGAGATCCATGCACTGCCTCAGGTAGGTGGTGCAGATATAAAGACTGTTTGCAAGTACACGCACATATTCGACATCCATACACTGCCTCAGGTAGGTGGTGTAGATATAACGACTGTTTGCAAGGACACACACATATTCAAGATCCATACACTGCCTCAGGTAGGTGGTGTAGATATAACGACTGTTTGCAAGGACACACACATATTCAAGATCCATACACTGCCTCAGGTAGGTGGTGTAGATATAACGTCTGTTTGCAAGTACACACACATATTCGAGATCCATGCACTGCCTCGGGTAGGTGGTGTAGATTGTTTCAACTTGCTGTACTAAGATCCCTCTACTACCAGTAAAAGGAAACGATTGACCAGTTTCACTTACATAGACAACAAGAATATCAATCACAAAGTGGCTTTTAAAACTGAAACGGATGCTTCTTGACGCGAACGTCAAGTTCAATGAAACGATATTCGATGTAATTACAGGAACCTGATATTAATGTCAGTGTGTGTGGGAGGGTTTGAAGCAAATCGGAGCAATAAAAACGATATTTGAACCGGATAATGTATAGAACAGATAAATTTCATTTTTTTAGCTTACAGGAAGCTAGCAACCATGTTACAAAAATAGTCTGAAAATAATATAACCAGCAAAATCGTGTCACGGTGAAACCTGTTACCGATTTCAATGACAATGCTTTGTAACAAATCTTACCAATTGTGTGGAATATGTGACATAATTTCAACTCCAAATATCATAACAAAATGTCGCCACACGATTGTCCTGTAATACTGACTGACTGACTGAGTTTGGTTTTACGCCGCTTTTAGCCATATTCCAGCAACATCACGGCGGGGGACACCAGAAATGGGCTTCACACATTGTACCCATGTAGGTTGTCCTGTAATAGGAGCTGTGGACTCGTATTAAAATACGCGTGAAAAAAGCAGTTCCACATTTGACACATAGTGAAGGGAGGTGGGATAGCCAAATGGTTACATCATTCGATGGTCATGACGGTCATGAGTTCGAATCCCCATGACTACAATGTGTGAAGTCCATACCTGGTGTGAGAGCTTCAAACGGGGTACATATAAGATCAATTCCTGTCGATTACCCGTCGAGACAGATTCCGCTGATCAAACATTGCATTCACAATTATATGACTGAACCACTTAAAATCAGTTATCACAGCCTGTGTTCGCGAAACGCTGAACTTGCCCCACCGGTAACTCCTTCCTAAAAACGTAGATTTTTTGTTTATTTATTCTAGGCATTTACACAGTCTTGCATGATAGTCCGACGCTGCAGCAGCTGTTGCTGTCATCCTCACTCACTAACTCATTCACACACTCATTCATTCTCTCATTCATACACTCACTCACGCACACGCTCACTCAACAGTGCCCTACGGCATCGAACATTACTGAAGACGACCAGTAAACGTTTTGCGTTCGGAAGGCCTGATGCGAAGCTTTCCGTTGACGCTTAACGTTGAAGCGAAACAAGAAATCAGGTGAAACTGCTTCTGATGTAAACTTCTAAATATTAATCCGAAGTGATGGAGAACTTTGCACACAACCCAACTCGAGGACATGTAAACAAACAAAGGTATGGAAATAGACTTGAATATCGAAATATTTCTATTTTGACATTTTGCTATTGCATGTCTTGGCCTTGGGAGATCAATAACAGATCGCGGATACGTCTAGTCCTCTCTACTTCAGTCGCTAATCTCATACAGAAATACAGGAGCTCCTATCTATTTGAAGAAAATGCGTTGAATTTGATTAAAATGGAAATAGAAGCGGAATGTCTAATCTCCTATAATGGCAACCGTGCCTTAGCCCCTACCACTATGCTTCAAAGGTATTCGAGAATCAGCATTCCCCTGATTTCAGAAGACAAGCTTCCTGGTACACAATCATTGGCAGGCTGTTTATAACAATTAATAAAATGTTGACCGTTGAAATATTTAACGGGAACATGTTCAGTTTAACTTTTAATATGTCTTGATGCTGTCATAGACTAAACCATTTCAAAGAAACTTATTGAAATGGTTTAGTCTAGGACAATGGTAACATATTAAATCGGCAAATGTGTGCAATCATCATAACGGATTTCAGAGTACCTGTTAATGAATTTACATCACAAGTTTGCTTCCAATGCTGAAGTGAAACATTTTCGTCGGATAATCGAGACTGAGTATTCTCTGAAGTTAATGGTGTATGTGTTCAATTCAAAACTACGTTTTATCCAAAATTGACAACTGGAATTCATTGTGCTGCCATAGCGCTAATTAAAAAATAACACAATTCGGACTTTCTTACCACTAAAACCTCAAATACCAGCACAGGATTGAAAGAATGAATGTATTAAAGCTTTAAGGTAGGTAATAAACACCGCTGACATGTCAGGATTTGATGAAAGGAATGCCTGGCGAAAGTCCTGGACGTGTAGCGTTCCCAAATGAATTACTTTAAGCGCCCGTTCAAAAAGTAGAAAAACAAACAAAATTGGTATATATAGTTCTACCTACCAGATCATCCCAAAAACAAAAGGCCATCCATGTACATGATCCACTTTGAGAAGCGAGTATCGATCTTACCTCCCAACAGCCCAGCACGTCAATGCAGCGGACAACGCAGTTCTCGTGGCTGGCGAGACTAGCGTCGCGTGATTGGCCGACAGAGGCTTCGGTAGTGTTACACGCGGTGAGCGGGCTCAACCTTGTACTGAGTTACAAGTATGTGCCTTGCAGCGAAACGAATGTGATTTCCGCCAAATGTTGTTGTGAAAAACGTACGCTGTTTGTCATCAAAGCGGTAGATATGAGTTGTAGATGATAGTTAGGTAATAGTTAAGTGATGTGTTATATTAGTACGGAAGTGTGTTATTCAGGTGGGTTAAACACGTCTGTAATCTTTTAAACGAGAAGATAATTAATACATATCATAGATACAGATGACTCTTGTTATGAGGTGTTTATCAAAGTTCGGTACATAAAGTCAGTGAAATCGTTTGTTATTTTATAACGGTAATTTATTGTAGGCATTGACGTCAAGAATACACTTAATATATGTTACTTGAGAACGTTAATGTCAAAGCGATAAGGGCAAGAAATTGAAGCCATAAGTGAAAACGGGAATTTGTTACCGGAGTATGTCGAAATCCGTTGAATTGTTTTTTGAGATTTTCACGCCATGATGTTGAGCGCAACGCTACGGGAGTAATGCCAGCAGGTGGCGCCACCTAACAGCGCACTGACGTGCGATGGAGAGACACACACGGATGGTCTCCGAGTCACAACACAGTGAGCCCCGGGATACAAGACTAATTAGGGTTGAATTGAATTTTCTATTGCTTCTCTAGAGCACCAGAGGCAATTACCCGGCCAGAGTCTTTTCACCTATGCTGTAGATGGGCATCCCGGTGCGTCGGATAGCTTTGGGCTACTGTCTGGGTTCAAACCTGATGCGAGAAAGGGACAGGTTTCGCTGGTTTGTCTCGCAGGCTGCTGGGGAATTGTGTTCGGTTGGACCTTCCAGGCATGCACAAATGTCAACCTCAAAAGACAGAAGAGTATTTTAAGGACAATCTTGTGTTCTATATCGGTGACCATTACGATGGGGCTCCGCTCCGCTGCCGTGCGTCAGAGTGGCGTATTTATGTGCATACTTACATCCACAGAATACCAACGCCCCCCTGTTGGAGAAAGAGGATGAGTTACTCTTTACGATAACGAATGACGTAATAGATTCACCTAGGGTTCACCTAGTTTCAGATTTGATGGTTGTAATTCCCGTCTGCAATCGAAAAAGATTCCGAGTGTATCTAGACTAATTACCAAGCCGTCTGGAGGTAACATAGCTATACACCATCAGTAATTCAGCCGTGGGTATAGACAAGAAAACGGAATAATAAACAAGCTCAGACAATATTTGATGGTGTGTCGCTGTGTTTTGTTTGATGTTTAACGCCTTTCGCAGCAATAGCCTTGCTCTACGACGGCGTTCAGTTAATAATCGAGTCTGGAAATCCAGCTTCTGACATAACCTGACCCCGATCCAGTTAGTCGCCTCTTACGACAAGCACGAGTTACTGAAAACAAATTCTTATCGGATCTGCATGGGGCGTTGGGTGATATCCATGGGTTGTCGAAGACCGATACGAACGCGGATCTTTACGGTATAAGGTAATGGCGCAGAAAGCAGGTAAGATTGCTTGCGTGATTTTAATCTACTCACCACATTCAGACAGGGTCAGGGTCCTTCAGTTCTGTCAAGACGGGGATGACATGATCATTAGATATATATTAAGTAATATGATCATTACCTTATCGTCATATGAACAAAATATTGTGACATTATTATCATAAGTTTCTAAGACTACCATAATTTTATGATAATTACCATATGGTTTGGTTTGTTTCATATTTCCCTTTATATATGACCGCCTCCGTAGTGTAGTGGTTAGAGCGTCCGCCCGGAGAGCGGAAGGTCGCGGGTTCGATCCCCGACCGCGTCATACCAAAAGACGGTAAAATATGGTACTTGTTGGTCCCTGCCTGACGCTCGGCATTAATGGGTACAACAAGGACCGGTCGGCTCGGAGTCAGTATAATGTGTCTGAGTGGGGTATTCATGCTTCACTGTGGCATGGTATCTCAGTGGGCAAGCACTATAAAACCAGCTTAAGTCTGGGCTAGTACACGCAGCCGCATATACACATACACACACATGCACGTCACACTAGAAACTTCCTCCAGAACCACAACATCAATGTGCTCCCCTGGCCCTCAAGATCACCGGACCTAAACCCGATCGAACATCTGTGGGATGCCCTGGACAGACGGGTGCGACGCCGTAACCCTCAGGCCCAGACACTTCAGCAACTCGCACAGGCACTTCAGGCAGAGTGGGCTGCGATTGGGAAACACGAGGTTCTGAGACTGATGCGTTCGATTCCGAGGCGATGCCGTGCTGTTCTGGATGCCCACGGTGATCACACGAGGTATTGACTTCAGCGCCACCACACGTCTCCATGTGACACTCAAACTGACTTTCCTCGAGTTGGTGCCAAAGACGGATATGTCTGCATTCCCAGTGTGCAATTTCGCTATATTTCATTGACTCATAAAGCCTACAAGATGTTTCAAAATAAACATAAAAATACAGTTGAAATTACTATATGCGTTTCTTTTTTTGGAAAGTATATTATTATATTTCAGTCTCGCCATACATACAGTGTGCATGGATGAAACACTATTATATTTTCTATAACAGATTATAAATATATTATTGTTTATAAATGTTGGGGTTTTTTAAATACCAAGGACAATAAGACATGGAGCTTGCACAATTACTGTTACTGTGAGTGAGTGCTACGCCGCTTTTTAGCAATATTCCAGCAATGTCACGGCGGGGAACACCAGAAATGGCCTTCACACATTATGCCCATGTGGGGAATCGAACCCGGATCTTCGGCGTGACGAGCGAACGCTTTAACCACGAGGCTATCCCACAACCCCAAACACAGTTTGAATAAGGAATATATTATGTGGTTCCTCAGATTCAAATATTTCTTTCAGAACTGTTTCAAAATGCATTTTCACTTTTTCTTTAAACTCTGTAACATTTATTACCCTAATTACTGTATTTACTGTTATTCTTCCCCTTGAAAGAGTGCTATCATTTGTTAGTTATAACAGGGTCATGTGTTTCTGATAATATTTCTGAGTTCATAATATTATTATTATAGGCTGCTCAAATATAAAACGGCAGTGAAAAGAGAAAAAAGAACAATCTTCATTATCCCCGGGCAAAGATTTCTTTGGTTATAAAGTGAAAATAAATATGGATCAGTAAATGCATCACCAGGTGTCCGCAAAACGTTTTAGCATGCCTTGACTCTCTGCATCTTTGATGATTGCAATGTCATGGAATTAAAGCATTAATGAATATAATTTGTACCAAATTCGCGATACCTCGTGAAACTAATATAGTTTTATTAATCTGACGTATGTAGGAACGCACAAGCTCTGTCGTCCTTAGCAGTCTTAATGAAAACACCGCGTGAGATACTTCAGCGTTTATACGTTGCCACCCCTCACACTACCCTCGTTATCCTACCACTGCATCTACTTTCACAGCTGACGCTGTGGGTACCTCATCTAACGATCCCCCGAGGGAAATAAACACCAAATTGTGGACAATTGCCTGGCGCCTCGCAACAAACACCTGGAACTAGTCACCGTATACAACCCGTCGCTATTTTGAAGATACTGTCTGTTTTGTTACTGACACAGATCATGCATTGTCATCACACCGTGTATGTCTGGCAAAGACCCATGTCAGAGCACCCTGACATAAAATTCCGACAAAAACAGCAATTCCGACAAAAGCAAACTGCGATTTTTTTTCACGGTCTGTCGGATAAGACATGCAGTTAGAACATGGTGAATCTCAAGATTTCCCAAGACATGCGCTCTTTTCATCTTTCTAGACTGTGAATCACTGATCGAATATCTCCTATTGGATAATGAAACTACACCTGTATTCCATCTAGTTAATACTCTAATATCATATATACTCTTCACAAAAAGAAACGCATAAGCGATACTGGGAATATTGGACTCGTGTGTCTGCGGCAAAAACAATACAATTATACGATTTCTTTCCAAAAAGTCATCTGTGTGTAATTGTAAACAGCGTCAGCGCCAAAACGCGACAATTCTAACTTTTCCCCAAGTTTTAGAAGCGTTTGCAGAAATATTCGTCAAACCCTCACCAAGTAAACATGCAAAGCAAAATTCATGTGCAATATGCAGAAAAGCATGGGGTATCGATCACTGTAAAAGCCAAACGTTGTGTTTAAGTTTGTCATTCATTCTTGCCTGGAAAAAAGGGAAATCATAGTGCCACGACTGAGTCCCGCCAATCGAAACATCAACATATAGGCCGTCTTGAAGCTGGGGAGTCACAGTCTGCAGTTGCCCGACATTTCAACGTTCATCAGAGCAACATATCTCGCCTTTGGGATCATTCTATTTTCCTGCAGACTAATTCCGCCCAAGATCGCCCGAGAAGCGGTCGGTCAAGAGTTACCACCCAGGCCCAGGTCTGCTACATCCGGGCTGCTCACTAACGTCATCGTCTTGTCACAGCCGTGGAGACTGCTCAGCGCATCCCTGGATTGAGAAGTAGTTCCGACCAAACTGTCAGGAATCGATTGCGTGAAGTGGAGATTCGACAAGAAGGTCATTTTTCGAACCTGTTTTGAGAGGCTTCCATCGGCGCAATCGCTTGTGGTGGTGTCGTAGAGTCCGGAACTGGAACCTTAGACTGGTTAAGTGGTGAATCACGATTTCTTCTTCACCGGTGAGATGGAAGACAGCGCGTTTACCCTCGGAGAAATGAACGTTTTGCCCCCAATTGCATTCGACAGGTCAACATGTAAAGGCTGGATATTTTGTCCTAGTCTTTTGCACAAGTAACCCAATATCCTGCCCTTTACCAGTTATCTGATAGGGTTCTGGGGCTCAAGGCACTGGTGCTATGGGTTCCATAGCAACAGGTTTTTTTAGCTAATCCCCAGGGGCTATGTTGTCACATGACAGGGGCAAGAGGGAGCG